CCGGAAAATATAAAAAAATTTTACACGTGTCAATTGTAAGTTTAATAATAAAAAAGTGTAAAACTTACGTTGGCACTATAAGATTTACACAATATTACATCAGCATCGTAAGATTTATGCAAGTTTATGCTAAATTAATTTCCTGATGAAGGCATCTACTAATGCTTATTGACCCACCATCCATTGCTTTAATCTGTGCCATTAAAAATATGTCTTGCTCTGTTTTAGAAAGAGCTTGAAAGGATTACACAATGCCAAACTGGGGGTTTTGGGACAAAACCCACCAGGCTGGCAGCCATGTGTCTGTCCTGCCTGGAAGGCCATGCCCTATGGAAAATGTATGGTTTTGTACCAGAAAATTTCTGTTCTGAAAATGTATGATTTTATACTGGAAAATTTTGGGAATTTTTCCATTCCAAAATTGTACAGTTTTATATGGAAAATTTCCTATTTCAAGAGCATACAACATTAGTTTTATTTAAAAGTCTATATCATCATCAATTATACAATTAATTTCAGTTTTTCTATTTGGTGGTCTAAAAGATAAAAATCCTACACAATGGTCAATTCCAATTATTTCTATAAATTTAGTAGAGCCATAATCTTCAAAATATTTTAGGCCATATTCATCTGTTATGACATCAGTAGTGAAGTGAACTAGTGCTAGCATATGGTCTTTTCCATTATAATTATGAATAATATAATATAAAATTTTTCCAAATTTAATTACTTCTTTTGAAATTTTCATTAGTGGGGGTGTTCAGACATATAAATGCCCCCGCACTTCAACATTTAAATATAATATACTAGATCCAATATTATGTTCTATTGGTGTTGAATCTAATAAATACACTTCTCAATATAGTGCCATTGATTCGGTATACTAACATTGTAGATGCTATGGATCCTAAATTCTGACACTAGTACGAAAAATGAAATAATGCTTTATAAGCCTTTTATCACCATTATTGAGTTATGATTGTTGCCAGAATTAAGGAGGACGCTCACAACAGATTGTTACCATACATTAGGACTGGCTACCTAATTGGCAACTTTCATAAATTGTGGCCACGAAGTGCTTCCAGTCCCTTAATTCTCATATTTACCACAGGCCCTGATCCACATCGGCAGGCTTTTCAGTTGGTGTAGAGAAGGACGTTCACAACAGATCATCTGCCATACATTAGGGCTGGTTACCTAATTGGCAAATTTCACAAGTTGTGGCCACGAAGAGCTTCCAGTTCTCTCTTACCAAATTCCTAGTGGCAGATAAACAACAACTCAACGTGAGAAAAAAAACCATCATCTTTCAAGATGATTTACATTGATTATTTTCCTTTAGTATGCTAAATAATTGTTTTGTTTAAAAGAAATATAAGAATGAATTTATTATTATGAATTTATTATTATGCATTTTTTATATTAATATTTTAAAAAAATAACAAACATATATAACTTACTATTAATATTAATATTATTATTATTGACATTACCACCACTGTCTATTGTTGTTGTTGTTATGATTATAATAATAGTGGTGGTAAATTTATTCATACTGGAAAATAATCACTTCCACTAAGATTGGGAGTGGGAATGAGGGTGGGAGCTGCTGTTGACAGTTGAAGTAGGAGCAGCTGTTGAGATGTTGAAGTAGGACTGGCAGCTGGAGCGGGAGAAAGAGTGCCAGTTGTTGATGGGTGTCCGTTCATCTTGTTGTTACGTGGTTGTTTTGTTGCGTAATAAAAATTCGTGCAACACGTAAATTAATATAACGCTATCATAAATTTGATTGGTCGATCGACATAGATAAAAGATAAATCGAAATTCATTCATTATTAATCCTTTTCCTGGGTCATCAAAATTTTATTTCCGGCTTGTAAAGCATATATAAATAGAAAGCCTAAGCTAACACCAAAGTAATTTGAAAAATAACAAGGTAATTCGGAAGTTAGATGAGAGGTGCTTCCAAGATTCCCGCATTCAAGGAAATAAATATATTTATTAAACTAGTAACAACTCAACTAAAGACTAGTGCCGTAATCCAAAAAAGGAAAAAGTATGGTTGCAAAAGTGGTCGCAAAGGCAATTG